CAATCTTTCATTTTTTTTTTTTTTTTTTTTTTTTTTTTTCGGTACCAGGGATCAAACTCGGGACCTTGTGTTTGCAAGGCAGACATCAGAACCACTGAGTTAAACCCCCCCAGCCCAAGCTTTCATTTTCTTTATCGTTGCTCATGAACTTGATATGGGCAACCTACTTGTTTTTCATTTCACTAGTAATAAGAAGTAAATAAAAAGGGAAAGTTATTAGATAACAGTCCTCAGTAACAGCAAAATGTGACAAGTGACCAATACTAAAAGTATACTTACATACAGCGTTTCTTAATATATTGTTTTTGGATGATTGTCTCCATGAACAGATTTCCAAAAAATATTGTATACAAATGTTTCAATAGCAGTTCTTGTGAAAAAAGAAAAGCTGAGTGTTTCAGTTAATTATATGTAACATATGAGACAAGAATTGGTGTTATTTTGGGTTGAAGAAACTGTTCTATTCAGTGGTATTTTGATTTTGAGGAATAGAACTGTCTTACATTACTTTCTACAAGGTGCCTGTGTGGGTCTGTGTGTCTGTCTATCCGTGTACCTGTCCAAGTGTCTGTCCGTTTGTCTGTGTGTGTGTCTGTGTGTCATGGTGGCATACTCATTGTTAGAAGGATTCGGAGTCTGACCAAAATGAAGAAGAGCTGGTCCTCATGGCGCCCGAGCCACAGACTGGGAGCCACGGGGGCCCCAGCAGCTGCGTGATCCGCCTCGTGGTCTCTCTGGCATTCATGTGTTTCTCATCCGTGTCCATCTTGGCTCTGTAGAAACGTTTGCTTCCTGAGTCTAATTGGTCCTGTCTTCACTGTCAGCCTCCAACTCAGAACTGTCACTTATCTGTGCAGAGACAAATTCCCGAACGAGGGATCTGACTGCCCAAATTAAATCAGATGTTGATGCTTATTCCAACATAGCAGGCAAGTATGGGAGAGTAAATTTACTACCTGCTGTGGCCACTCAACATTCATCATCCATCCACGTGTTTGCCCATTTACATTTAACATGCGGTCTCTCTGCACACAGGTTACACCTGAGGAGAGCTCACACTCACATGTTACGCTTTACATGTCAAAGAAGTACAACGGTTGGTTTCAGTCACCTTGTGAACAATATTAGCAGACTTGACCATCCATAGACAGAGAGCTGATCTATGAGAGATTTAGAAGCTGTCCAGAGTTCTAGAGTTGCTAAGTGTAAAAAACTCATTGGGTATAAGGCACTTAGCGAGTAGCTACCATATCGTCTACACAGTGTTGCGTCCTGCAGTTACAGTGGAGCCCAAAAGCAGATGCAATTCCTGCTTCATAAAGAAAATCCAATTGCTAGCCTCACATTTTAAAGATCTGTCCTACATAAAAAATGTATATTTAGCCCATGCTGCTCTGGAAGGCAGAACTCTGATCAAGAGTGTTAAGTTACAGAAAGAAAGATAGAAAAATGGAATGAAGAGTCCTAGACATTCTAACTACAAACCCTGAGCGAGGAAGACTGCTAGGGATACAGTCCTGTGACTCCCACAGGGGAGAAAAGGTGAAGCGAAGGCACTGGCTTAAAACCTCCCAACTCTGAGATTCCACCTGGGACTCGGGGGAGCCGTGAGCCAGGAGTCGCGGCCCCCCTGGAGCTGCGGTCCGGTCCGCGGAGGAGGGGCCGTCCAGCTGCTTCACGCCCTCGTCCCCACCCCCCTCTCAGATGAGCTCTCTGTACAGACAGCGCTGCGGCCGTGTGCAGAGACCCACCTGGCTCCGGAGAACATTTTTATCAGCACTGAGGGCAGACGCACTATAGGACCTATTGTGACTAAGCTGCTTTGAAAACAATACTGAGAAATGACACTGCTGCTAATCAGAAGGGAAGTGGGCTGACCTCTACGGGTGTGTGTGCGTGTGTGTGCGTGTGTCTGCCTATGACGCAGGGAGGGATTTATGTAAGTGGCCTGGAAGGTCATCTGTACCCCACTTCACCTCCACATGAGATGCAACATTCCCTGGCTACCTGGCTACAGAGGAAACAACAAAGATGAGAGCTTTTCTGTGAGATGGGGGTGGTTTGTTGGTGGTGGTGTTTGGTGGTTGAGACAGGGTCTCACTGTGCAGTGCAGGCTGACCTTGGTCTCACAGCAACCCTCGTGCATCACCCTCTGGAGTGCTGGGATCACAAGTATGTGCCACCACGCCTGCCAAGGTGAGTTGGAAATGCAAATTGGATCTCTGTTTTTTTCTCATTTAGAGTGTGGCTATGAGCAGAACACTTACTTCACACAATAAATAAAAGATAAAATAATAGACATAAGGTTAGTACTATGCCTGGCCCTTAACGAGCACTTAACATAGATTTACTATAAAATTTACAAAATATCTGCATGTATTGACAGTTTGGCCTGAACTTTCTCATTGCTTTCCCTATTTTACAGACAAAGAAATGTATTGTGATAGAGGGAACCGAGACTTGGAGAAGTAAAGGGAATTGTTCAAAGTGCATTGTGAGTAGCAAAGCTGGAATTTGAATTCAAGTAGTTTGAAGCCAAGAATTTGAGCTGAAGTGGCTTCTAACTACTAAATTTAGCCCTGCTTCAAGTGCCTTCTCTCTGCCTGGTATCTCTAGTGTCAGACTTTGTATCAGTCACTTTCCCATCCCTGGGACAAAATACCCAACACCTGCAACTTAAAGGAGAGATTTACTTGGTTCATGGTTTCGGTCCCTGGCTGGCCAGCTCCAAGGTAGAAATAGCACAGTGGAAGGGCTGGGCAGAGCAGAGCTGCTCGGCCCATGGCAGCCAGGAAGCAGAGAGAGAGGGGAGGAGCCAGGAGAAAGAACGCACCCTTTCGAGTCTCACCCCGGTGACGCACTTCTTCCCACCAGGCCCCACCTCCTAACAGCACCTTCAGCTCCCGAACTTATCAGTGAATTAGGGCACTGTTGAGCATGGCACCCCCATTGCCCAGTCGCCTTCTGCACACAGGAGGCTTCGAGTGTACATTTCAGATCTAACTCATAACAGATTCCTGTCTGCATTGTGGTCATGTGAAATGATCATGAATTAAGTTTTCTGAAAGGTGGGCCTTCTCACTGACTAGACGTAAGACTTCCTTGTGTACTTATACTGATTAATTACAGAACAAAATCTATAGCGGTATCTTGGGATCATCCAATCTATTCCTGGATCCTTCTCTTCAAAAGAAGCATGAAATTTTCATATTCCAACAAACCACAATAAAGGGTGAATCTGATAATCTAATGTTTGCTCTGAGATTTGACTTAAACAAGTCCGTTGGTTTCAGTGGCCTAGGACCAAAGAGGATCTCTTTGGGAATGAATCAATCTTCCAGCCCCATGAGTTATTACTGAGCCCTTTTTCTGTTACTACAATGAAATATCTGAAGCTGGGTAACTTTTAGATAAAAGAGGTTTGTTTAGCTTGGCCAGAAGTCCAAGCACCACGGCATTAGCTTCAGTAAGAGTCCCCTGACTATACCACATAATGGCAGAGGCAGCAGGTAAAGAGAGACCACATGGCGAGTCAGGAAGTCAAGGGGCCAGGCTCGCGCTTCTGGCAGTAGCTCACTGTCCTGAGAGCTAACCAGGGTCCTGAGAACTGTCAGTTCCTTCCAAGGATCATGACCTTGCACTGGGCCCCACCCCTTAAAGTTCCAACCACTGCCTGCATCATCACACTGATGTCCACGCTTCCGCAGCAGGAGCCCTTGGGGACACAATTACACCCCCTCCCAGCCACAGGAAAAGCTGAAACCTTTGCATGCAAGTGGTAGATGCAAGGTTCAGCTCTGATGGCTCTGGTCCTTGCCCAACCCCTCTGGCGGCACCTTCAGGCTCCTTTGTTACCTCGTTTCCTAGTTCATCTTAACAAAGCCAAGTTTACAGGAATGAATCCCTGATGATGTTCCCTGGGTAGGCCCAGAGTTCAGTACAACAAATGTCAACCAGAAGTGGAGGCCTAATGATACCGACTTGGAAACAAATCATCAGCTTAAAAACAAGCACTAAATTAATTGCAAAGTTGGGGGCATGTGCCTGTAACAAAATGCCCAAGTTGAGGTCAAAAAACCTAATTTTAAAGTCTGCCATGAAATACCTGGTCAACGTGAAAATACTGAATAGGAGTTTGCAAAGAATTTCATGTATTCCTTGATTACACGAATATTCCTTAAGCTTCTATGAATGAACCAGGTGTATCTGGAAACTAGATGTCTAGAAGTGGCTGGAGAGAAAGTCTAGTCTTTTAGTCGAGTGCAGGAATACAAACGTACAATTAAATATATGTAAAGTGGTGATAAAGCTTGTAAATAAAAATAGAACGAGGAAGGAGATAGCGACAGGTATGGAACTGCTCACTTTGCTGATGAGCTGGTCAGACAGAGAGGTCATCTCTGAGGAGACCTTCCCGGGGTGGACAGCTCCCACTACGTGGGTATCTGGAGAAACAACATTGAAGAAGCTGGAACAGCAGCTGTAAAAAAACAGATGGAAACGAATAAGGAGCAGCAATGGTGGGAGTGAGAGGAAAGTGAGAAGAGGTAGGACTGGAGAGGCCGCCCGGATCATCCGGGTCCTCGTGCGGCACCTTATGAACTCTAAAGCTACCAGAAGTGGCCTTGGCAGTCGCCGGTTAGGCTGATGCCCTGACATAGTATTCCTTTTTATAAGCCATCGCATCACAAGATACCATGTCTTCTATGAATCAAGGTATTTTAATGCACTGTAATAAGTTTAGTAATTTTCTCCATAAAGATCTTTGTCTTCTTTTTTAAGATTATTCCCACAGATGCAATTGCATGTGTAAAACTGCTACTGTAAATTCCAATGTACCTTCTTAATTTAACTGCTTCCACGTTTTTTATTATTTTATGAAAATACAATAAATTTTTGCATATGAATTTTTATCCAATTCATCAAACTTTTAAATAAATTCTACTAATGTAGGTGCAGTTTATTAAAGGTTTTCTCTTTAAAACCTAAATTCCTACATAAATTCTTAATAACAGCAATTTCCTACCTTTTCTTGTAATCCTAATATTCTTCCTTTTCTTATTATTTTATTTGGGGTATTTGTTTGTTTGTAACATTAGCAATTACCTGAAAGATGAGTGTAAAGCTGAGCATTTTTTTTCTGTATTTTATTGGGAAATAGTCTTTGTCAGGTTATAAAAATTCCCTTTATTACTAGTTTTACATGTAAATAAATATTTTTCAAGAGCTTTTTATAGATACTTTGAGATGACAATTTTTTCCTCTTTTAATCTTTTATTGTGCTAAAATTCATCAGCATATTTTTCTAAAGTTGAAGTACATTTACATATCTGGAATAAATTAAATTGGATTATGATGTTTTATGTACAGTGCTAGAGTTTTTGGTAATACCCTGGGATTTTGGCACATATATTGCCTAAAATTTACTTTTATGATACTTAACCAACTTTCACAATGAAATGAGATGGACAACTTTTTCTTATCTCTTATTTCCTGAAAGAACTACATAATACAGGATTTTCTTTCCCTTGCAAAATGTATGTGAACTCGCAGTGGCTGTCAGGAGTGGAAGAGTACAGGGGAGGGTTGATCCTGTGTTGCACGCTATTGAAACATTTACCTTTCTCTTTCACTGTAAACTGACCACACTGCATGTTACTGACAGCTTACCATTCTATTTCGCCGTAGATGAGTCCATGTTTCTCACAAATGCACTTTTCTGGACTGTTCTGCTGAGTTGTGTTCCTGCCATTTGCACAAGCCCTTCCCTCCAGGTCTTCAGAACAGGACATCCAAGCCACAGCCACTCCGGTGGGCCCTCCTCATCCACGTCCACCGGTGTTCATACAAGAGGAGTAAATTTGCTACAGGGTGAGATGTAGTGGCAGACACAAAAAACCACGTGGCGTGAGGGTGCACCTGGAAGGCAGCCTCCTGCACCCCGAAGAGCAAGGCCCCAGGAGAAACCACGCCTGCTCACACCCAGCTCCTACAGTTCCAGCCTGCAGCTGTGGGAAAGCAAATGTCTGCTCTTCAAGCCGCTCAGTCCACCGCAGTATCGGTTAGCGGAGCCCTGGAAAACAAACGCAAACTTGGCGTGTAAGCTACTTGTTCGAAATATTCTCTTTTCCTTCTAAAGGTGTAGTTTGCTTAATCACATCTTCTCTGTTGTTCTTATCAGCCTTAATGGAGGCTTTTCTTTTTCGGAGTGAACCAGGATGCGGGGGGCGGGGGGAGAACAAATTATCATCTTTGTGTTACTAATTTTGTGTGGGTCTTATTTCATCTTAATTTTGTTCTGGGCATTTTTTTTTTCCTTTTTTGTAGTTTCTTGAATCTTTGCTAATTTATTTTTCAGTATTGCTTTTTTTTTCCTGTTCAGAAAATCTACTCAAACCTATAAATTTCCTCAGTTCTAGCAGCTTCCAGCAACGCCGGATACAAAACGGCAATCATTGGCCCGTAGGTGTTTTGTCCTTTCCTTGTATCTTTTACTAAAAGGGCTGCGTGACGTGCAGGATTCCCTTTCGGTTTGTTTCCAGAGGCGCGTCCTCCGGCGTCCGCCCCGCAGCGGCGTCCCCGTTTGCTCGCTTCCCAAGCGGTCCCCATGCAGCTCGTGGTACCCAGGACCTTCTGCTCCAGGTTCAGAGGCTCTGCATCTTCTCCTGCCGTCCTGAGGACACTGGGCTACATCTTAAACCTTCTCCTGGATCCCAGGGCAGCTTGTTTTCAGATGTCTGTGCTTCCTCCTCGACTCTGTTTCATCTCAATGTTGCGCAGTGCCTCGACTGTTTTATCTTTTTCTCCTCTACTCCTGGAACAGGGCCAGAGCTACCCATGTCCAGGTTCTCAGTGGACGGAGGGAGTGGAGTGTCTCGGCCCTGCCCCTTGCCCACCAACACTGTGGGTGACAGCGTTCCTGAAGTCTGTAACTGCAGAGCAGATTTACGGCTTGCACCACTTTCGGTCCAAATCGAGCTCCAGCTCCCCGACTGCCGTGTCCTCTTCCACTTACCTGTCTGGCACCTGCCTGTCTGTCTTATTACTTACTTATCTGTAGTGCACTGCACCGAGTAAGTTCCGTCTGAGCCCCGGTTTCTTCCCTTCGGGACTCCTGCTAGGGGTCACTGTCTTAGAACAGCACGATGATATCTCTCCTGCTTTCTGCCCAGTTGTTTTGCGGGGGTGAAATTTAGCATCTAACTGAGATTAACAAGGTGATGGGTGAATTTGACGGTGCATATAAACATCTAGAAAGATGCCTCAGAGAGCAGCCTGCTAGGGGCCTACAGAGCTTTCCCAAGCCCATTTCTTGTTGCGTGGGTGAGTGAAGGGGCGTGGTGCATCGCCCTGCCTTTGTCTGACAGATGCTTCTGGAGGTAAAACCTGGTGTGTGCAAGATGATGGTTCGGAAACTACGTCATGATATGCCCCGCCTGCCACTCTTCTGCAGGCGACCCAGGGGACAGTCCGCTAGCCTCTCTGTGCCAGTTTCCTCATCCATTTCCAGGGAGCAGTGAGGCATTGGGTTATCATAGGTGGAAAAGTGCAAACCAAGCGAACTGCTTAGAGCCACGGCTGGCTGCACGGAGCAGTAGTTAACATGCTGGGGAAAAGTGTCAGCTGTAAGACCTGAACCCATTTCTGTGGCTTCCAGCTGAATGATCTTAAGCTTTATTCTCCTCTCTGTAGCTTCATCCTCTCGTTTGTAAAAGGACAGTGCTGGATAGATAACCTCCAGAATCCCGTCCGCTACAACACATCAAAACTGCAGAGCTGTAGCCACACTTGGCCTCATGGTTCCGCGGGGAATGGAAATCCTTTATGAGAAATGTGTATTAAGCAAGCACAGGTCTCTCTAAAACCCACAAAGCAAAACCAGGCCTGGAGCTTTTCCAGAGTTCTGCTTGTCCTTAGCTGACTCTAATAAACGTGTGGGGTTTTTGCAGTGAGCTCCCTCCCTCAGTACCCCTCTCCTTGTCAGCACACCATTCTTCTCCAAACCGAGCTCCAAGCTGTACCAACTGATGCACTGATTCACTGTGTCTTACAACAGAAAATGAACGCCTTCCATTCACGCTGTTAAATCAAAATGTTCTCATGTACTGCACAACATACAGCTTTGTTTCCATACTAAAAGAATCTCAGGCAGCATGAAAGGTGTGTGAACCGTATTTGGGAAGGGAAAACGGTGAAAACAGCCCTACAGATCACACAGTCGTGATTCCTGCTGCCGGGCAGGGCCCCCAGGTCGGCGCAGAACCCACCAGTGAGCCCTCAGCCAGCTTCTGCGGCCCAATCTGCCAGTGACTGCTTCTTTCTCGCCGCGGGCTCAGAGCAAGTTGCACAGCCGTGTCCAGTTCCCGGAGTCACACTTCAGGCTGCTAGGAACCACTGGCTACTCAGGAGTTCCGGGCACTTACACAATTCCGGACTCAGGAATCCAAGGAAGAAGGTCTGTGGGCCCGCGGCCGGTGCGCCAGATGTCTGTTTAACCGCACGCTGGGGAGCAGCATTCCCAGTGTGCATTCGGCAGAAGCCACGCGGCACAAAGAGGCTTTGTGAAAGAGCGGGAAGCTCCAGGATGGCTGCTGCTGAAGTGTGGGAAGGACGACCACTCCAAACGAATCCGGCCTTTAACACAATCACACGCCGTGAGCTTCTAAGGTTCCCAAGCTCTCTTAACCACAGTTCCATATTCCCAGAGAACGGGGCTGAAAGTCTACCCCTCGGCAGTTACTCTCCTGGGCCTGCCTTCAGGTGAACACGCCCCTCAACGCCCTTGTGGTTGGTTCTGGGGACCACTTGCTCCGGCCAATGGAGCGCCGGGGGCGTGACCAGAGCCGCGGTCTTCAAAGCGCATGTGCACTTTAGCTGGCTTCATGTGCCTCGGGCCCCACCGTGATAACCCGTCCCGCTTCGCCATTTGCCCCGGAAGGAAGAGAAACCCATGGATGGAGCTGACGAGCCTGGACAGGAGCCTGAAGCCGATCCTCACTGATTCACTGTCATGAAACGAAGCTGCCCAAGGAGCCCAGCCTAGATAAGTGCTAGATATGTTTTTTTTCCTTGTTACATAGCAGTTTCTACCCTATATACTATTTCTTCTTCCTTTCTACTCTTTTTTAGGCAGAGGAATACCTGAGATTGAACCCAAGGAGCAGTTATGGTCGTAGGCAAGGACTTTCTGAACAGAATCCTGGTTGCACAGGAAATAGTACCGAGAATCATCGGATGGGATCCTCTCAAGTTAAGAAGCTTCTACACAGCAAAAGAAACAACCAACAGAGTGGAAAGACAGCCTACAGGATGGGCAAAACATATTTGCCACTATTCCTTAGACAGAGGACTAATATCTAGACTATATAAAGAACTCAAGAAACTTAGATCCCCAAAGTGAAAGACCCAATCAAAAAATGGGCAAGTGAAATGAACAGACACCTCACAGAAGTACAAATGGTCGATAAATATATGAACATTCAACATTGCTGACTATTACAGAAATGCAAATTAAAACAACGTTGAGCACCATTTAAGTTTTAACACAGGGTCTTGCTAAGTAACCTAGGCTGGTTTGGAACTTGGAATCCTTCTGCCTCAGCCTCCTGAGTAGCTGGAATTACAAGCATGCACCATTGCACCCAACTCTTCTCTACTTTTTTTTTTTTTACTTTATTTGCATTTATTTTATGCTTAGTCTGTTCCCATGCCATAAGTTTTTGTTTCTTTGGTTTCTTCTGGGATATCTTTTTCTTCTGTGCACCTTCCTCCTCTGGTTTAGGAACAGTTTGTTTCTTTTCAGTCAGGATCATCTCGTTGTGGCCAGGGGAGCTCATGTATGGTTAATCTTGGGTGCTTGGTTCACCTGGATGTGTTCAATGACCAGAGAATCCACATCTAAGCCCTTAAGCTCAGCATCACTCACTGCATTTCTGAGCATGTACAACAGAAATTCAGCACTGTCTCTGGGCTGCCAGCACTGGGCCAGCCCTTTTGGCCTGGATACACCTTCCAGCTCCACCACTGTAACTCCCTAATGGCACACATTGCTTCCCCAGTGTGACACCCTTCAGATCCTTGGTGGCCTTTTGGATATGCATACCCTTGGCCTAGGCAGTTTCACAGGTCTTAAAGTGAACACAAAGATTTGAGCCTCTTAGTTTGCATGATTTGGTGGGGTTTTCTAGGTCAGGAGAGTAGCAAACCATTTCGCCGGTTGCCTCAGGCCACTTACAGGAAGGGTCTTCTCTACCTTCTAAGCAAAGGCCTATTCCAGCCCTGGACTTTCATGAGTGGGGTCAGCAGAATTTCCCTCAGTCCTGCTCATTGTCCTATGGCGTGAGGGGTGACTTCTGTTCTCAACACTATAAATAATGAGCAGATTCATTAGCACAACTCTCATTTAAAACCAACTTCCAGCTCATTTCCCTCTGGACCATTTCTACTTTTTGTGATTGACATATTCCTGCCACTCAATTGAGGTGTTTTTGTTTTGATTTTGTTATTTTTGTTCAGTGAAGAAAATTTGTAAAGTACCCAACAAGACCAAGTTTCCTTTCAGCTGAAACATCAGGACTGAACTGCACTGCAGACAAATAAGCATGAGAATAAATGTGCACGGCTTACAAGCTGCTTGGGTATTTAGGCTGACATGCAGCACAGGCTGGGTGAATCCATCCCACTGTGTGGAGTTCCATAAAGAAGTCTGGGGAAATGAGCTTTAGAACCCTTCAAGTGCTCTTTTCCTCCAACTCACCACCATAGCCCAGTGCCCACAAAATCGGGGCAGCCTTCTTGTTTGGCTGCAGTTAGGGTTTGTGTTGAGGCTCTCGTACTTAAGAGTTCCACAAGCAGAGCTGTGACCCAGAGTGAAGAGGGGCAACCAGGGAAGTGGGGGGCTTGCAAGCTGACTAGCGAAGGAGCAACAGTGGGACCCAGGTCTGCCGAATCCCACCTCTGTTGCTTTTCCTTGAAACTTTGCTCCTCATCTGATTCTGAAAAGACCATCAGGCCCTTTTCCAAATACCAAATTTGTGTACCCAGATCTATTGTCTCATTAGGGAAGACGTCGGGTAATTAAAAAAATCACTTCAAAAGATCTCCAGCTGTAGAACAAGAGTGTGGGTTGGCAGGTCTTGAGCATTAGTCCTGCCAAAATCCCTTCCATTTATGTAGCTGGGCAAAAATAGAAATCCAATGTCCTCCACCCAAAATGGACCAAGTAACTTTAAAAGCTACTCTAAAGGGCTAGAGCACTGTGAGAAATGACTAAATGGTACTGAAAGCAGCACTCTGCTCTTTAGAAGTTTATACATTAGATGATCTGGGTGGCCAAAAGATGGGGTCTAAAAGCGCAGACACAGCCCCAGACAGGTAACAGCATCAGTAATGTACACAAGTTATGCCTCCTGGTGCCAACACTGCTAGCTGGACATGTTGGAAACACACTCCTGGAGTGCCCATCCAAAGACAGGTGGTCTCTTCCTCATAGCCTTTCCCGTGTATGACCCTTGCTGTTGGCCAGGTGGCCACAGGCACAATGGTTGCTGCTTTGGTCTGGCAAGTTCAGGACCCAGTGTTCTCCATGGAAATCCCAGGAAGCCTTCCAACAATGCCCATCAGAAATATTTCTCTGGTGCTGTAGGGATCAGGAAAAGGGGACATTACCAGAACCCCTGCAGTGGGTCCTGGTCTCCTGTGAGCCATGACAGCACAAGGTGCATTAAAGAATAAAGACAGAAAACGAGACTTAGAGAAGAAACTGGGTTCTGGGCCTAATCAGTGCTGCTCTGGGCAGCAAAGACAAAAGCACATTGAGCTTGCCACTATTTATTGGGTCCATAGGGAGTAACAGATGACTAGGAGGGTGGTGCTAATCCTAAATTGACAAGGATCTTCTAACAGGAGGAAGTATCAGATATCTTGGAGAGTGGTGGTAATCCTAGGACCACAAGGATCTTATGTTGATTGGGATGGTAAGATGAACAAAGTTGTTCTTACAACAGTAGGTGAGATGAGTTAAACTGATAAGAAATTTGTCCCTCCCCAGGTAAAACCTTTCTACTCAGTTCTCAAAGACCCAGGCTGTCTTCAGCTGATGGAATCTTGCTGTTTAGTATCACAGCATCATGGACATTGAGGTCTCAGCTGTGACCAGAGGCAAAACGGGGTTATGTTTCAGCCTGCAGTAGCTGGCCTGCAGGCAAGAAGACTAGGACTCACAGCCCCAGTCATAATTTAATTGTGAAATGATTTTCCCTCACATTATGCAGAATGGCTCCCGATTTACACAACACTGCCTCATGCCTGTCTGACAGCATTTCCAAAGGGGGCTCTGCTGGTGTCACTCACATTTGCATGTATAATCATTCATATCCATCCCTGCACTAAGTAGCCTAAGCACCACTCTGTGCCCAGCACTCTTTTGGGGGCTGCAGAGGCTGCAGCGAAGAAAGCAGACAGAAATGCGGCAAAAGTCAGCCTGCGGGAGAAAGGTCAATAAAGTGATTCGTCAGCCGAGAGTGAAGAATTGCGTGGGAACCACTGAGGTATTCGTGAAGACAGGAGACGGAAGTGGGCTAAATTTTTAAATAAGGTGGTCAAGGAAAGAGCTCCTTGATTAGGCAACGTTGATCCCAGTGTTGCTTAGGGGTTTACAGCTGCACAAAGAAAACTGAATGCAATCCCAGTAAAGTGATCATTGTGGGTACCTTCAGAAGCCTGATTCGGGTGTTTTGTGTGCTCCGTGTGCGTGTCAGGGGGGCACGCGTGTGTGCTTGTGTGATTTTTTTATTGAACTTTATATTATAAATTTATATGTATTTATATACTTTTGTACACATTTGTCATACATATCGATCATATTCATCATAGGAAGCCTGTGCCTGTACATTATATAACTTGATTCATCTTTATTTTCCAACCCCCGCTTGCTTCATCCCTTCTTCCTCTCCCCATTTATAACTGGGTAACTAGATTCAAAACATGAATACCCTATACTGCTCTGTGAGAAATAAGCGATGAAATCTCCATAAAGAGATTAGCGTCGCGCTCCCTGCAAGCCTAGCCAGCACCAGTGTTGTGATTACTATGAAAGTTTAACAGAGAATGGTTTGCGGATACAGGGTGTAGGTGACAGGCGGAAATTGGGTTTTCTAGGCTGGAGAAAGGCAAGGCCAGAGACACAGGAAATGAGCTCGTCTCCAGAAAAACCTCCCTTCCCTTCGGCATCTACGGGGTGCACGACAGGATCTGGAGTCCCAGGACTGCATCCCCTGGGTCACTGCTTTGTCCTCCTCAGCACGGCCACTGCACACAGATCGAGACATCTGTGCAAGGTTCAGAGCGTTTCAGTCCCGATCAAGAGCACGGCCTTCTGCCGCGTCCTCAAGTAGCTCCTGCGGCGTCCTCTGTTTTATCAAGCAGCTGGCCAGAGGCTGCTGGAAAAATAAGCTGCCCCAGCTATGGTCACACCGTCAAGGTGGGTTGGATTTGTACGCAGTGACAAGTCACTTACTTGGTGTGGTTAGGAAATCAATGAATGCATCAGTATGGAAGCATCCTTTTAGTGCCAGTTTTCTTTGTATTTTATCAAATTTGTATGGAAACATTTTTAATTTTTTGCAAATATCTGTGGCCTTGCAAATATTAAATGTGGAACCAAAAATGAGCCTTTTCATTGATGAATCTGTGTCAGTTGAATAGCAAGATGTGAGTGACCAAACAGTACCTTTGCCTAATGTAGCAAATAGGTGTTTTATTAGAGTGTTCTAGGGTACTCCTCAATTAACGGAAGATTGGGCAGCAGTCTAGAAAGGCTCAGGGACATAGCTCCAGGTTTCTCTGTGAAAGGAAGAGTGGGAGCATGGATCCAGGTGCCACCAAGAGGATGAGCAAGCCCAAAAGCTCAGCACCCACATCCTGGGGGACGGGGACCGAGCCAGCTGGGACCATGGGCTCAACCGTGGCTAGAGGGCGAAGAACACACTAAGCGATGTTTCTCCAGGGCGAGATGCAACTTGAGGTTGTTGTTCTGAAGGAAAACAACAGCACTGCTTCCAGAAAGAGCGCCGAGGAAGCGGGACGTGCAGAAACACAGACTTCGGCACAAGAACCGTGAGCACTTCGGGCACCGGTCATAGTCCTGGGTCAGTGTTCAGCCGTGTTCCAAGGCTGCCTCTGCTCTCCTGGTCTCGGGCTTCTGTAATATTTTAGTCTCTAATCTGCACACTTCTTCTGTCTCTCCACTTATCTTTAAATGCCTATTTGTTCTTTGCTTCTGTTAATGTGCCTACTTCTGGCAGGCTCTGTCCACCTCCTCCCTCCTCTGGTGGTGGGCTAGGAAATGAAGGACCCAAGCTCACCGGATGCGTGCGCGCGCTGAGGCTG